ACTGCAGAAAACAATGGTCAGCTAACTGACCCTGATTGCCCATTGCTGGTAAAAGTTAATCCCCTGAGGAAAAAGTATGCATTGGCCCACCATGGTGTCTCAGGTCTGTAATCCCAGCACTTTGGGAGGCTGAGGCAGGCAGATCACTTGAGGTCAGGAGCTTAAGACCAGCCTGGCTGTCATGGTGAAACCCCATCTCTACTAAAAATACAAATAGTAAGCCAGGCGTGGTGGCAGGCACTTGTAATCCCAGTTACTCAGGAGGCTGAGGCAGGAGAATTGCTTGAACCCAGGACACAGAGGTTGCAGTGAGCTGAGATTGTGCCACTGTACTCCAGCCTGGGCAACAGAGTGAGACTCCATCTCAAAAAGTAATAATAATAAAATAAAAATAAATAAATAAATATGCATCACCTAAGGTGGTCAGTCAGTGTTCCCAAGATCCAAGATTACACAATGTTCCTTCTGGTGTGAGTGACGGGGGGTTCACCGCACCGCAGAATCCATGACTTTTCTCTCAGAAGTGAACGCATGGCTAATTATTTGAATTCTTTGTAGAGATGGAGTTGTGCCATGTTGCCCAGGCTGGTCTCGAACTCCCGGACTCAAGTAATCTGCCCGCCTCAGCCTCCCAAGGTGCTGGGATTACAGGCATGAGCCACCACATGGCCTGCACCTATAGTCTCAGCTACTCAGGAGGCTGAGGTAGGAGAATCACCTGAACTGAGGGAAGTTGAGGCTGCAGTGAGCTGTGATTGCTCCAATGCACTCCAACCTGGGCAAGAGAGTGAGATCCTGTCTCAAAGAAAAAAAAGAAAGAAAGAAAAACAGCGAACACACTTACTGGGGAAGAGGCCTGCAGGCGCCCCAGCCAGTTCACCACAGCACACGGCAGCAGCCCTGCTGCCACAGGAAGCAGCTCCAGGTCCTGCAGCTTGGACCCTGGATCCTGGAGTCTGGAGCCCCCCATCCAGTGCTGCACCATGCTCACTAGTACCCCCCAACCCCCGGCATCAGCCAGCACCGAGGCACCAGCAGCAGAGAAATTGCTCACCTAAAATGTAGAGAGATGAGGCTAAACTGTCCTCCTAAGGCTGTATATAAATATATGGTCCTGCCGATACTGTATGAGATTACCTGCTTCACCACATCCTCGAGATACTGAGTATCATTAGCAACGTGAATTTTAAATTGTGCTAATCAAGGAAAAATGATTGCCTAATTACTAGTGAGTTGAGGTTAGGTAACATCAATATTCCTTCTTCTGGTGGGATATTTTGCATTAATCACATTTTATGTAAATTCTTTATATATAATTAACACTAGAATGTCCAACTTGGTTTTCGTTGTTCCTTACCTATTTGGAAACACATTAAGAATGAGGGAGGGAACAGATGGGGACTCACCCAGGGATGCGTGGAACTGGTCTGCAGCCACTTGGAGGCCCCTTCGACACTTCCCCACACTCTCCTCAATTTCCCGTTCTTTGTCCATAGATACATCCAACAATTTGTTTGAATATAAGAAAGAAAGACTCAGCTTTCAATGGAAAATAGTAGGTTGGATCATATGACTGAAGCGGTGAAAAGAAATAGGGGATTCTCCCATTACTGCGTATATATCCAAAGGATTATAAATAGTTCTATTATAAGGACACGTGCACACGTATGTTCATTGGGGCACTGTTTACAATAGCAAAGACTTGAAACCAACCCAAATGCCCATCAATGATAGACTGGACAAAGAAAACGTAGCACATATACATCATGGAATACCATGCAGCCATAAAAAACGATGAGTTCGTGTCCTTTGTAGGGACATGGATGAACCTGGAAACCATCATTCTCAGCAAACTGACACAAGAACAGAAAATCAAACACCGCATGTTCTCACTCATAGGCGAGTGTTGAACAATGAGAACACATGGACACGGGGAGGGGAGCATCACACACTGGGGTCTGTGGAGTGGGGAGCTAGAGGAGGGACAGCAGGGGGCAGGGAGCTGGGGAGGGATAACATGCAGAGAAATGCCAGATATAGGTGATGGGGAGGAAGGCAGCAAACCACATTACCATGTGTGTACCTATGCAACAATTTTACTTGTTCTTCACATGTACCCCCAAGCCTAAAACTCAATAAAAATATAGAGAGAGAGTAAGAGAGAAACGGGATTTTATTATGGGGGAGGTCCAAACCCTGGTGGACAAAAAAAAAAATTTATCGAAATTGTTTGAAAATTCAAGAATTAAATCAGATTATTTTGGATTCAATAGGAATTAGATTACCTTAAAGCCCCAAGATACTTCATTTCATAGAATGCAGGGAAGGTATAGAAAAGGGAAACAAATAGGCAAAGGCATGGCTAACAAGCTGGAAGGGGAAATAACTCCTTTCAAGAAAGGTTTGGGTCTTAAAGACCCCAGGAGACATATACAAAAATGGTAAGAGGATGCGCCGAAACTAGTATTAAGGCTGTGGCACAGGATGAGGCAGATAAAGCTGTCACTGAGCCTCAGAGAGTGACTGGCGTCACAGCGAGAGTTTGCAATGGCCTGAAGGGTGGGTTTCTGAAATCAAACATGAATGATTCCCCCTCAGGGAACCTAGACTGGGGAGCTACTGCACAGTTCCGTGTATGCGGAAGTATCATCAATGCAGGATCAACTGTGAAATATCACAGGAGGCATCCTGCACCTAGTCAGTCTTCTGTTTCCGGGGTAGCCTGTACAGCTGCGCAGGCAGAGCCCCAACCATCCTGGTGAGGGGCACACAGAGATCCAGCCACACCCCCAGGCCATGCTCTGGGAAGAGGGTGGGACCCGGGCAAAGCACACCTCTTTAGGACTGTACAGAAGCCTTTGTGGGCTGCTGGGGGGAACATCTTGTGATGGCTTTCTGGCTGGGCACTGTGAAATGCTCTGCAGATTTTTCCTCGCACTGTTCTACTTCCCCTGTCACTGCCCCTTCCTCCTAGGTGACCTCATTGATGTTGTGGCCACATGAATTCTCTGGCCAATGAAATGATGGAGATGATATGGCCTCTCCCAAGCAGACACTTTAAGTATTATTGTATGATGCTTTTATATCTCTGTCTTTTTTTTTTAAGTTAAAGCAGTTTATTAAGGAATAAAAGAATGGTACTCCACAGGCAGAGCAACTGCCTCTGTCTCTTATTTTCCCCTCTGCCTCAAGCCCAGCATGCCCAAAATTGGGGCTACTGGTTCAGCCTGGGTCTCAAAATAAAGACACGTGATGGAGATAGACACAAGAGAGAAGCAAAGTTTTGTCATGTTAGCCACTAAGATTTTGATTTGGAGGCCATTGGCTACGGCAGTATAACCTAGTGTGAACAGATAGATACGATGATGTTCCAGTTCTTTTCAACCTGGAAAAGGAGAATTTTACAGATGGGCCTTGATTTCACGGTAGTATCTTCTTTAGACAAGAAAGCTCATACTGTTCAAATGCCATGCTTTATAGTGCTGGCATTATCACTACTGTGGCTACCCCATCAGATGTTGCTCACTGACTAATCTTCTCATGTTAGTGAGGATGGAAAACATATCAGGCCATAATTCAATGTAGCAAACAGGAAAAGAGTTTCATCCTAGCATTATGAAACCTTAATTAATGTCCTTTCCTCACAGTTTCAGAGGCTTTTGCAGGCAGCAGCAGAGCTACTGATGTCACTGGCAGTGGGGAACATGGCCAAATGGTTGCCCCCAGGATGGAGGCGGAGTTTCAGGACACTTGTCTGAGCTCTGCCCTTGAACAGACAGTCTCACTCTCATTGACAATTTTGCCTGTTGGGTCCAAAGAACCAACGAAAAAGCTGGAAAGTTATTCCTTCTTCATTTCTCTCTTCATTATTCAAAATTATTCTCTCTTCATTTCTCTTTTCTCCTTTTCTCTGCTTGCTCCTTAGCCCTTTAGAAATGCAATTATAATCTTTTACCTCCCTTTCACCGGACACTCCCAACAGGTCAAGTTCATCTGATCATGTGCTCTTAGTTAGAAGCTCCAGAACAGAACTCCTTCCCACCAAGAGACTGCCTTGAGATGTAACAGTCAATTTACAAGCCAAAGTATGCCTGCTATGAAACTCTCCCACCTGGAGATTTTCTGGCTGATTTTACAACCTCGTTTTCCCCACAACGGCACCAGCAGTCACCAGCTCAACTGCCTGGTAGTTAAGGCACCAAAGCTAGTACACAGGCCCCCACTGCTCCCTTCTCTCCTGCGTGCCAGGGCCCCCATCTAAAAGCCTCTGCTTTCTGCTCCAAAGTTGAAGCAGTACCCTTAAGGCAGGAAGCCTGTACTTCTTCCCCTAAGGTAGCTTCGGAAAAAAAGTTGCTTTCTTTATACCACACTGAGCTTTTGTTAATTAGATTCTGCAAGTGATGAGCAACGGACCCTGCATTTCAGTTATGATTCCTTTGGAGTGCAATGGCACAATCTCGGCTCACTGCAACCTTCGCCTCCCGGGTTCAAGTGATTCTCCTTCCTCAGCCTCCCAAGTAGCTGAGATTATAGGCACCTGCCACCGTGCCCGGCTAATTTTTTTGTATTTTTAGTAGAGATGGAGTTTCACCATCTTGGCCAGGCTGGTCTCGAACGCCTGACCTCAGGTGATCCACCTGCCTTGGCCTCCCAAAGTGCTGGGATTACAGGCGTGAGCCACCGTGCCCGGCCTAGTTCCAATTCCTATGCCTGCTCTTCCTGTCCTGCCTTGGGACACACACACACTCATGTGCACACACTCCCAGGCACACACATGCACCTGCACTGAGACAACTATGTGAATAACCAACCCGATCCCCTTGGGGAAACAATTGCTTGACCTGGCCTTAAATTCCAGACCTTTGGGCATCACATCCAAGACTGCAAGAAAGAGGAGGCACCGGACCTGAAAAACTCGGAAGGGGAGGTCCAACTGTACAGGTATTTTGTCAGACACATGATTTCAGGATAAAATTCTAGAAAAGATGAATAATGCTTTATAAGGGGAGACTATCAACGCTATTTCTCATTTTATTTCTTGCCAAGACGACAGCAGGGAACTGTGAGCAGATGGTCGGGCCATCCCCACCCTCAGCGGAGGAGGCCAGGCCCCAGCACACCCGGAGAGAGGGGCTGAGAGCAGCGGATGGCTGAGGCTTTCTCAGGGAGGCTGGGCCGTCTTCTGGGGTTTTACTTCCTAAGGAACGCGCAGGCTTCCAGGAGGGCTGTGGGACACAACGGAGCAAGAGATTCAGAAACTGATTTCTTTTCTTAAAATCAATAAGCCAGTTTTTTAAATCAATAAATCCAAGAGGATACTAAGAGTTTTCTCTGCCCTCTCCCATCACTGTGAGTCAGCACTTGCCACACTCATATTCCCCTCTATTACTCCTAACAACCACAGCGCTCAAGGGAGCCAGAGTCTAGCCCTCGGCAGCCGGGGTGTTTCCCTGCTCTGGTCTGAGGGACACAACCTCCTTACACTTCTCTCTCGTTGAATGGACCATCACATTCTCAAATTCACAAGATACTGGTGGTCCTCTAGCTTCTCCTGGAATGTGAATCTGTTTGCAATTATGTTCGCCTACAGATTCGCTCACTCGTCCACAAATCCTGACTGAGCACCTGCTTTGTGTGAGTTGCTGTGCTAAGTGCTGCGGACACAGCATGGATAGACAGGCCTGCCCTCAAGAAGCACGTGGTCTATGCAGTCCTGAGCTGGCTGCTCACAAGAAGAGCCCTGTAGCCATACTTCTCAGAGTGTGGTCCTGACGTGCATCACAGTGACCTGAGTTGTTGGTCAGCACAGAAAAGGGTTTCTCAACCTTGGCACGATTGACATTTGGAGGCTGATATTTCTTTGTCTCAGGGGCTGACTGTGCTTTGTTTAGCAGCATCCCCAGCCTCTACCTATTTGGTACCAGCAGCACCCTCTATGTTGTAAGAATCAAAAATGCTGGTTGGCATTGCCAAATATCAGCTCAGGGCAAAACTGCCTCTCATTGAAAACCACCAATAAAGATATTCCTGGCCCTGCCCCTATCCCTGGACCTATAGCATCCCCAATGCCTCTGCCTCTGGGTGAGGTTCCAGGAATAGGAATCTGGACGAGCAGCACACAGGGAGCTGTGCACACTGAGATCCCAGAGTCATCTCTGGGAGCCTTACAACACTCCGTGATGGCTTCTAAATACTTTTAAAGGATTAAATTAGTATCAATATATTTCCCTGGCTAACATGTTTTCCTACACTTGAATTTTTTTGAAATTTTGTTTCCTCTGTAGTTGGCATCTATGGTAACTGTCTAGAATCAGATTTTGTCTTTTTTCTTTTCTGTTTTCTGAGGCAGGGTCTCTCTGTGTCACCTAGGCCATAACGCAGTGGTGCAATCATGGCTCACTGCAGCCTCAACCTCCTGGGCTCAGGCAATCCTCCTATTTCAGCCTCCCAAGTAGCTGGGACTACCAGTGCTTGACACCACACTGGCTAATTTTTAAAATTATTTTTGGAGAGACAGGGTCTCCCTGTGTTGGCCAAGCTGATCTCAAACTCCTGGGCTCAAGCCATCCTCTCGCCTCTCCTTCCCAAAGTGCTGGGATAACAGGTGAGAGCTCTCACACCTGGTCGATTTTGTCATTTCTCAATGCATAGGCATATATACACCTTTCATTTTACCGAATAAAATGGATTATCAGTTCCCAAAGACTTTGACAGTGCAGTCACTATCAGTATTATAAAAAATAAATAAATTAAATATTACATACTGCCTTATTTTATTCTCTAATTCTTTTATCAATGAGATTATAATTTCCTGGACTACACAGAGATATTATCTTTCCTTAACATTTTATACCCATGTTCATTCCTAGAATGCTATTTGGCCCTCAAACCTTGACCTTCACCCACGGTGGTTTTTCGGGGGTCTACTTACGGGAGGTTGAGCACTTTTTCAGATTATTAATGGCTGTGACATACTGTGGTCCCAAATATTTTTCATATGTTGTTTTGCCCTGGAGTCCGGCCAGACACTCAGTGTTATCATTGAATAGAAGGTTTTTGGTTTCAGACCGGAATAAGCAAAACTTGTCTGGGCAGTCAGATCCATTTGTTCCAAATTTAGCCTGTGACAAAAGGGCAGACAGTGAGTAGCTAAGGAGAAGAGGAATTTATGGGTTAAAAGGGGCTAAAGGGTTTTTTTTTTTTTTCATCCAAGAAGAGCCCTGGGAAAACCATGGGGTGGAAGGAGCTGAGTTCTGGAGTCATTTCACCTCCTTAGTGGACTGCCCCACCCCACACTCCTGGTGCCAGGGCCCCTCCCGGGCAGCACCCAGGCTTCACACCACTTCTGGTCCTACCTCCTGCCATCTGCCATCTTTCCTTCCTTCTTAACCTGTGATCTTTTTCCATAAAACTTCTTATGGGTGACAAGGTGACAACTGAGGGGTTTTGAGACCTGCCCTCACACACAGATCGCTTAGGACATTCTAATACACAGCTGTCCTGGAGAGGCAGACTTCTGGGAAAACACAGGCTCTGCCAGTAATCAGCTCAGTGCGCAGGCAGTCACCCTGCTTCCCTCACACAGTTCCCGCTCTGTCCAGGGCTCCCACGTGGGGAGACAGAGCCCAAGCCCCTCAGTCGTGGCGGCTCTCTCACCAGCACCAGTGCGTGTGCACAGTAAGGGCTCCATGAAGGCCAGTTATCGTGGCCAGTCTTATTATTCCAGGGTTGTTTTCTTTAAAAGCACACATAGAGAGACATGATGTTATCAGATAAAAATAGAAGTTCTGATAGAGAATCCAGATTTTAATAAAATTCTAGGATCGCCTTCGAATCACATTTAGATAGCCCTACATCTATAGAGCAAGTTCTGGGTTTGCTGTTTTCAAGGCCTGGCCTAGAACGTTGTTTAGTTAGCCCGGGTTCAGGAAACGTCGCCAGAATAAAGCACTCTACCAAGGCGTGTGGGAGGAAGGCTCAGTGGCTCCCTCATTAGCCAGGAGAACAGCAGGAGGGGAAAAGACAGCCTCTGAGCCCCGCCGTGAGTGCAGCAAGGCCGTGGCACAGAGACTCAGCAGAACTGGAGTGAGTCCCAGAAAGCCCTGAGTCAAAAGCCTCTGTCGTTTTTGTTGGCACCCCGGGCAACCTCACAGCATGAAGCCAATACCATCACCATGAGCTTCAAGCAAAAGGACTAGAGAGGCTTGAGTGGGCTGGGGCACCTAGCTCTGCCATCTCCCCACCTAATGGGAGCCCACGCAGCTAAGAAAGCACTAGGGGCCCTGTAGGTCCATACCTGTTGCTGGAACAGCACCTGTTTCAGGCGTTCCACCTTATCCGTCCGAGACACCACGGCATGATTTGGGGCCATGGCAAGATGGCAGCTCTTAGCCTCCGTCACAGGCTTCCGGGTACCATCGAGGCACAGCAGCTCAAAGTTCTCCAGCTTCAAATCCTTAGCCCACGCTTCAGTGTTCTTTCCTGGGGAGAAAAAGAAGGTGGCATCAGCCACAGCTGCCCCACTTAGCCAAGAAGTCTTTTCTGGGTGAGTGTGGCCATCCCACTGACCCCTCAAACGCACACACTGGGGTTGTGATGACGTGAGGGAAACAGGATGAACTTTGTCCTACACAAGCTGCACAAACTTCAGATGTGCCAAATATTAGTACTGTGTCCATGCAATGGAATGTTATTCAGCAATAAAAGGGAGTGAAGTTCTGGTACATGCTGCAACACGCATGAACCTCGAAAATGAAGCCCATGAGACACACCAGTCACAAAAGATCACATAAGAAACTGGCCATAGTGGCTCATGCCTGCAATCCCAGCACTTTGGAAGACCAAGGTGGGAGAATCACTTGAAGCCAGGAGTTTATCACCAGCCTGAACAACACAACAAGACCCCATTTCAAAAAAACCCACCACATACTATATGATCCCATTTATATCAAGTGTCCAGAACAGGCCAACCTATGGAGACAGAAGTGGACTGATGGTCACCAGGGCTGAAGGAGGATGGGGCAGTGACTGATAATAGGTGCCGGGGTTTCTTTATAGGAGGCTGCAAGTGTTCCAGAGTTGGATTGTGTTGAGGGTTGTACAATTCTGTGAATGTACTGGAGATCAGTGAATTGTATACTTTGCATGGGTAGATTTTATAGTATATAAATTCTATCTCAATAAAGCTGTTACAAGTGCTTTTTCTTTTTAAAGAAGAAAACCCTCCACCTATGCCATATTTTTCAGTAAGTTTCAGAAAAAGAATTTACATTCAAGGAGAAATTGTTTTCTCTTCCCTTTCATATTCAGATGCTATTAGTGTAACCAGGGAAAAGATAGAAACTTTTACAGGTTTATCAAATATATATAGTCAATTCTAACAAAATACAGTTGTTAAGTACCAGAGAAAGCTAAAATTAAATTTGACATCAGTCTGATCCCTGGAGATTGCTTCAGTGAATGGCTTGTAAATTCTAAATGTAATTGTATGCATGTCTGTGTTTGTGCAGATACAGGCTCATTGTTCAGGCCCTTGCTTATCTCTCTGCCCTCTCCCCTTAAGAAAATACTTCCTCCATTCTCTGGGATTCCTCTATTTGTTACTGAAATAATTTCAAATTCACACATCTGGTTTTAATCTCCATCCCAGGAGACACTAGAAGGGGCAGAAGCAGAAGGGAGAAGTGGCTGTGACGGCTGTGACATGGAGGGAGGGAGGCCGAAAGTGAAGCCAGTTCTTTCTCAGGGAACAAAATGGCAAGTCATCTGCTAAGACTGAGGGGTGGGGATGCTGAGGTGGGGTCAAGGAGACAACTGCAGATTGGAAGGTAGCAAATGGCTGAGAACAAGAAGACAGAGTGATTGTTCAGACGTTGGCTGGAAGATGCTCTTCCATCATCTGCAACTGCCTGTAATTTTGTTCCCACTAACTCCCAAGGAGTCTCCAGACCAGGGCTCACATGGGAATGAATGAAGGTCTCTACTTCATTTTTCATAAAGGGAAACTTCCTTTGTATATGTTCGCCCAGTTTTGTAGCATCATCCATAGTTTCCAATATGCATGCATGATCAACTGCGGGCAGACACTGTGTTTTCGTGGTTGACTAGACAAAGCCAGGGAGACATTTGCTACTGAGCATGGCTAGTTTCTGCATATCTATGAGTGTGTGTGTGTGTGTGTGTGTGTGTGTGTGTGTGTGTGTGTAGTGTATGAATTTGGTTTCAAAATCAATATGACACCTACAGATGTTCCCATGTTGTCTATTGAGATAAAGAATTTTGGAGTTCTTTTAATAAAAAATCTGGAAAATGTTATAACACCTTCCCAATTGCAAATCTCAACACTAAAATGTGTTGTGATGCCAAAGACTCTGCTTTGAAGGAGAAAGGGAAACGCCTTCACCTACCATTGGTGTTCTGCAAGACAGTGGTATCTTTCACGAAGGCAACATCCCCAGCATTCTCAGCCAGGCACCTAAAATGTTCCAGAAAATATGCACATAATTAGAGAAGAGAAACTAGTAGGACTCTCATAAATATTTGTAATATTCATTCCAAAAATGGAAATACAGAAGTAAACATCTAAAAGACAACGATTTCTAGGAAGTTACAGTTTACAACGGCAGATGGAACACATGTGTGCCTGCCCTCCTTTTAAAGCCCTGTGAAAAAGACATTACTGGGGTTCTTACAAGCCATAAACTCATAAAAGAGGGTGAGAGAAGATACTAATGATGATGTTTGGAAGTTAGAGAGCAAATGAATGAGCAGTCATTGACCTAACAGAGCAAAGAAAGCCATAATGGAAGCTGGATGTGGGGCAAGCTCAGAAGAAAGCAGATGTACACTGTGGGACTCCAGAAAGGCTCAGCAATGAGAGGTCCTAGGCACCGTTACAAGTGGCTGGGAACAGGAACACTGGGAAGGGTCTCCGTAAGATGCAGTTTATGCTCCTTCATATCCCATGCAGCTGGAGATTGCTCCTTCCTCTCGCTGGTTAAAGAGTGAAGGTTTGTTTGCTAGAGAGGTTGAGCCTGAACAGCACTACGGGCTAGAGAATCAGATATGGTTGAGGGTAGAGATGCAACACTGGAAACAGGGTGGAGCGAAACTCTCTCCTGGGAGGTTCCTGACAACCCCTTTCCCCCGCTCAGCTTTCAGAAGGCTGGCTGTCAACGCTATACCTCCCAAGAAGCAGGCAGAAAGTTTCCTTCTCTTGGAAATCTGATGAACTCAAAAAAAAAAAAAAAAAAACCTTATAGATTCCCGTATTTGGATGCCGACACAAACCAGTTGCTCTATGGTAAGGTCTAGTGCTCGCCAAGACTTAGCAACTGACACAGAGCTAACAGTCAGCTCTGGTGCTTCACAGTTTTTTTTTTTCTTTTTCTTGTAATGCTTCACTCTTAAATATGGACGAGCGGCCAGTGATACTTAGATATTTGAAGAAAGACCATAAAAAATGGAGACCAAAAATTACACCCAGAGGATACAGAGACAATATGGAAAAGAGAATAAAACAAAGAAAAACTGTCATTAATATTGTTAAAGAGAATAAAAGAAGGTGTAGCACTCATGAAACAAGAACAAAAAGCTCTTAAAAAGAAAATACAGGCTGAGCGTGGTGGCTCACATCTGTAATCTCAACACTTTGGGAGGCTTAGGCAGGAGGATCATTTGAGGCCAGGAGTTCAAGACCAGCCTGAGCAACATAGAGAGATCCCAGCTCTAAAGAAAACATTTAAAAATTAGCCAGGCATGGTGATGCATGCCTGTGGTCCTGACTACTTGGGAAGCTAAGGTGGGAGGCTTGCTTAAACCTGGGAGGTTGAGGCTGCAATGAGCCGTGATCATGCCACTACACTCCAGTCTGGGTGATAGAGCAAAATCCTGCCAAAAGAAAAAAAGAAAAGAAGAAAAGAAGAGAGAGGCGAGGAAAGGGGAGAGGAGGGGAGAGAGGGGAGGGAAAGAAAGGAGAGGAGAGGAGAAGACAAGAGGGGAGGGAAGAGGAGGGAAGGGCAGAGAAGAGGGGGAAGTTCAAGAAGAGTTCTTAGACACCAAAAAATTCTTAAAATGACACGAGATTAGAAGAATTCTTAAAATGACATAAAAAATTCTTAAAATGACATAAGACTGAGCAAATATCCCAGAAACTAGAAGATACGAGCAGATAACGAAAAAGAAACAAGGAAATTAAATGATAATGAAGGAAAGTTCATAATTTAAAAATTAAACTTTAAAGAGAAATCAGAAAAAAATAGAAGAATGAAAATCATCAAAGAAATAACAAAGTAAAATTTTCCAGAACTGAATGACTTGGGTTTCCAGATGAGAAGAGCCCACAAAATGCCCAATCAATGGATTAGGAGAAGACTCACACAAAGAAATATCACTGCAAAGTTTCAGAACACTGGAAGTTAAAAAATACCTCAAAAATTTTCAAGAAAGAAAATCATATACAAGGAATTAGGAATCAAAATTTGTACCAGATTTCTCGACAACTCTAGAAATTAAAAGACAATTGACTGATACTTTTAATTTTTTGAATTTATCATATTATTCACCTTTTTGTGTCTCTATGCTACATTCTGGATAATTTTTTCACATATCTTCTGCCTTCACTAATTCTCTTTTTAGCTATATGTAATTTGCTAAGCTGGTCAATTGAATAGCTAATTTCAATTGCTGTAATTTTTTTCCTTCCTGAAAGTTCCCCATTTATTCATTTTTTAAAATATTAACTTGCTTTTTCTGTTGAATTTTGCTTTGGCAACTTTTTAAAATGTGTTTAGTTGATAATATTATAATTACTTTTTACTGTGTACTACTCATTGTCATTTAAAAAGAAGTAGTTTTGAGCCACCTTTGAGAACTAATCTAAAGATGCTACCTTCCAGGGAGGTTTCTAATGGTATCATCAGTCTGGTATGACTTTAACAAATACTTAGGAGTTGAGAATTTCTGGAGCATCCTAGGAGATACAAGTTTAAATTGCAAATCTGTGCAAGAATTGGTTCATGGCTTCCATTTCTCCGGGATGGTATTGCTCCCTGTTCTCAACACACAGGCAACTTGAAGCCTCCTGGAAGTGGACACAGAAGTTACTTCTGGTAACCTCACTCTTATCTTAAGAGTATGGGTGACCTCTTGGGATCAAGTCTGTTAGAACTGATAAGTGATCTCAGGACAAAGTGGCTCTACTTAGCTCTCTGAATTCCTATTCTCATTAGTCTTAGTCTGATAATTCCTTAATTTTTTTTTCAGTTATCCAATGCCTTTAAGAACACGTTATTTGAATTCATGTGTGTATATGTACTCAATCCAACATTTTTGCTTGTTCGTAGTGGGAGAGTTGGTCAAAATAACCGAACACTGCCATTTTCCAGATACAGAAATCCTGCCAGAAGTCCTAAAGGGAATGTTTTCCAACCTAGACTTAGTTATCCAGCCAAAAGGTAAATCATTTCAAAAGCAGGATAAAGATACCTCAGACCTGCAATACCCAAAGAATAGCAGCTCCCTTTCACTCTTGCTCTAGAAGCTGCTGGAGGGTGCTAAAGATATGTGATCCAGGAAACAGGCAATCTAACATGAATTAAGACAAAGGGAAGCCCCAGAATAATGATCAATGGGACCTCCAGGACCACAGATGATCAGGCAGGCTACAGAACAATTAATCCAAACTGAGCTGAAAGATGGACACCTTCCGGAGCAGCATTTCCAAGTAAATGATAAACCGCGATAGCACCGTGTGTGTGTGTGTGTGTGTGTGTGTGTGTGTGTGTGTGTGTGTGTGTGTGTGTTGTTGGGAGATTTACATTACTGGCAGAGAGTTTTGGGATGAGGTAGTTATTTTTAAGTGCAAAAAATTAAGCAAATAAGAAAAGACATATATGAACTCCAAAGTAAACAAAGCATTTGTACAATAAGGGAAATATGATATGAGAGTAATGCTTACACAGTCATAAGTACTGAATATGACATTAGTGCCTTGGGTGCTGAAGAGAGTTGAAGTTGTGGTTGTGGGGTGGAAGAGGTACCGGGGGCAGTATGAGAGGCTAGATCTTCTTCTATAGCACAGAGTCAGCAGAAAGTTAAAAATTAAGAACCAGCATTATAAGGATGATAGAAATAAAGGGGCAAGACTCTGGTTTCAGCTTATAATGAAATTTCTCCAATTTAGTTTCTAGATGTAATTTAAACAAAAGACAAGGAAATTTCTTCTGGTATAAGTAGGAATATTAAAATGCAGGTGTTTCCAATGAACAAATACCTTGCTGCGGGTCTAAAAAAAAAAAGAAGAAAAAAAAAAAACAGGAGCACGTGATTCCTTTGGGTTCTTATGAGACATGTGTTCAGTATTTCTGAATAAAATCACAATTTTTCCATTTGCAAATCCTTAGTCCCTTAAAGATATTTTTATACATTCACAAAACTTTTTTTTGTTTTGAGTTTTTTAAATGAGTCATTCAGAGTATAGCAAAAGCCACTTTTATGTCATTCCAACACTGAAACAAAGCTGTTGAATTTATAATAAAAATTTAAAGATCACGTAGTTTGGCCACTGTAGCCCTCAGACACCTGATGCCATCTGGTGGTGAAATGTACTCCTGGCACACGGAGGAAAAGGAATAGGGGAAATTCCTCTCTGTACCCTTCACACTGGTAAATGGTGCCCCTGAAAAGCAACGCCCAGATGAAGGCACTGGAAAACGTGGGGTGTGGTGACAAATCACTAAATGGTTATAATTTATGAATTCTGAAAACCTGTGTTTTGGCTTATTTTTCACTTTGTTACTGGAGAATACCACTGCAATGCCACTCTTTGCCATTTCTAAGGCCAAAAGTCAGAATAAAGTGGAAACATAAGACATAATGGTGACCTAGGTGAGAAGAGAGCGGGTGGCTATGGGAAAGAGAATTCTTCCCCATACATGGAACTGTATAAAGCACTTAGGATCCCACACTCTACCCATTTGATTTTCAGGAAGAAGGTATTGAGGTCTACCACTATGGATCATGGCTCAAAGCCACAGGGAGAAGCACTGTGGAGCTGAGGTCAGGCAGCTCTGGTGTCAGCCTCCACTCTCTGGGGTGGTGGGTGTGGTGGGGAGAGCCCTCACTGGGGCCACCCATGAGCTGACCCGATTCTGCGGTGACAGGTCACACCTGGCCCCTTGGAACGGCAGTGCCGACACGCTGAGGGATGACGTGAGGCCCCATCCTGATGGAGCTCAGGCCCAGACTCACCGGAAAGCCCCGTCGTAGCCATAGTATCTCTCATTGCTGTTGGGCGCACACTTATTCTCACCCTGCTCATTGCCAACACACAGAGCACAGAGATTAGATTTCGGGTCAGCCCCAGGGGCACAGCTTTGACTGAAGTATTCATCTGGAGAGAAGGAACACAGGGAGTCAGCTCTTCCGACTGGAGTCAACACAAGCAGTCTTTACCTAACAGCTGATGCAGGTTGGTTTCATTTCATTAGACTTCCCAGGACAGCCATCGAGACAGAACACACTCGCCATCACAAAGTGACATGTTGTCACCAACATAGGACCCACCAGAAAAGCTTCATTCAGACTGTAGGCACTGACAGCACCCGACTAGGCTGGGGATGAGAACCGTGACTACACGGAGGGTCCCCTCATCACAGCCTCGAGCTGGGGGCTCGGCTGATGACCATGATGGCCGTGTGCAGCAGAGCCTGAGAGCTGCCTAGTCCAGGATCTGATTTTGTTTTTATCAGTAATGAAAACCTGCTTTGTATCTGGGTGCCTGGCCTTTTGGTATAAAGACTAAACATGGGATTTCCTGGGGCTCATACGGTCATATGGGTAGCTATTGGCCAGTGAAATATCAGCAGAAGTGTTGGGTGCCAGCTTCTCAGAAACATCCTTAAAAGACAATTGGCACATGCTGTTTGCCCCCTTTCCTCCTTCTCTTTCTTCATCCTGCACATGGAATGCAGAAGCAGGGACTGGACTTCCAGATGCAACGTGGGCCATGTGCTAACCTTGGGCACAGAAGCCACACAAACGGTAGAGGAACCAGATGTTTAAAGCCCAGGTTCCAGACACCACATTGTCTTCATACCTGCCACAGGCAGCCCACCTCTGGACTTCACTTACATGACATAGAAATTAACTTCTGTCTTGTTTAAGCCTCTACTATTTCAGGAGTTTTCTGTTCCTTGCAGCTGAACCTAATCTGATTTAACCTGTTGTGTGATTTAACCCAAGAAAGAATAAACAAAGGTGACAAGAACGCTCAGCCCCACTGAGCCAGTGTCACCCATTATCAGATTCCCACAACCCCTGCTGCTGGAAGAACCACACTATGTGTCAACCTCTCGAAAAGCTGGGGGTGCCCACCCCAGCCTGGCACTTTCTCTATAGCTGAGCTGCTACCACGGAGCTGGTGAGGAGCAGAGCCACGCGAAAACTTGCCCCAGCCAGAATCAAAAACCCATGCAGTGGAGCTCCCGCTCTAGGAGATGCCCATACAAGAGGAGGGTCACGTTGAGGATGCACTAAGCACCCAGCACTGGGCCCACGGCAGGCAGGGCATGGCTTAGGCTGGCGAAGACGGGTGTGGGGTGTGGTGAGGACAGAAAACTTCAGAAGCAGGTAGAGCCAGATTCTTGAGGTCTTATTCAGGCTCCTTTGCAGTGTGGAGTAAGCAGTCAGTTTCACTTAGTAACAGGGGTCACTTTTTACCAGGCAGGCAGACGCCTTTCCCCAAGCTGGGAAGCCAGGGCTTAAGAGGAATCTAGGTCTGGAGCTCCAAGAGGTATAAAAAACACTTGCACATCTTGGAACTTGCATTTATTCTTAGGGTGCAAAGAAATAGGCAGATATTCCCATCCTTAATGTTGGGGTACAGTGAGTGGGACACGGGAAGTGCTGTGCAGGGAAACCCCTAGTGTACCCACGACTCCAGGGGCAGCCGCAATGAGAACTTGCTTCTGGTGGAAGAGGCCTGCACCACGATCAGCCTGCAAATGCCCTTCGTCCCTTCCCTAAGGCTTCACAGCACAGTGTGCCTAGCCCCCAGTGTGGCCCACCCACCGCACCCTCAGGACTCCTTACCAAATTTGCAGGAGCCCGTCTGGTTGAAGAGCAAGCCTATGGGAATGTTCCAGCCCGCAGTCCTGTCCACGGCGGTGTGGCAGGACTTTGTGCCTTTCAGAGAGTTCCAGGTAAGTCCAGCATCAGATTTCCTAACCACCGCCACAGCAAGGTATCCTGGCACAACAGATGACAGAAGAACAAGTCTTAACCTCCACGAGGCCTAGCGTATGATTCCAGTGCAGCTGTCTGCAGCCCAGGCCAAAACAGGCCACGAAGCAACAGCAGGCAATGATTCCCGCAAATAACTGGCCTTTTTAGGTAGACCCAGAAAGCGTAAGTTGCCGCCTTATGTTAAGGTGAGATTGACCTGAGCTATGAAATAAAACAGTAAAAAAAGCTGACCCTTTAAGTGATTAGAGGGGACTATCTTCAACCAGCCACACAGTGTCCCTGAGTTACAAACCAGCAATGCATCTTTCAGTGTAAGCTACTAAAGCAACAAACACTATCAACAACAAGAGTGACCCGAACAGTGCATAAATCACCAGCCCCAGCGTGCGTCAGGCCAGAGCGCCAACATCCGGCGGACTGACTGCTGTGTGGGTGCAGGGAGCGTGTCTCCAGGGACTGTCCTGAGCTGAGTCTGAACCAGCCCTGCACTGGTTGAACTCGACATGGTTGCCATTGTCCTCCTGAGAGACTGTATCTGACAGACACCCACCAAGGGCAAGTCTCTTCCGAAACTCAGCAGACACCAGCGCTGGTGGGCAGGGGGGTGGTGCACAGAGCACTGGATTTGACACGAGGGACCCTGGATCAAAACCAGGATCTACTATAGTATCACCTGTGGCTGTGAGTGAGATCCTGGGCACTCAGGGACTCTCAGTGCCACTGTTTCCTCATTCCCATAAAATGGGAAGCAGCACCCCCCCCATTCCACATGACCAGGATGCAATGAGGGACTATATGGATGTTCTCTACCAAGTGTGAAGATCAATATAAACATTAATTAGAACTATTCCTCTGGGAATTATCTGCACCCTTAAAAGTACCTATAGCTTCTAAGGCTGTCATTCTTTCTGTTTGTTTACAGTTCCTGCCACTTCCTCTTCCAGCAACAAGAACTTCTCCTTGACCTCGAAAGTGGCAAATGCCAACTCACCTTCCACAGGTCTATCCACACAATTAGGATCAGGTTCACTGCTTTTTGGAGATTCTGAAAGAATAAAGACAAGTAAGACATCATTACCCATTCAGAGGTAGTGAGAAGTCACAAACTCTTAAATCTCCATGATGCAGAATCAAATCTAAAGAGACCATCCCAGCAGTCCCATGCGGGAGAAATGCATCTATACGTTCACCAACAGACGTGGCACAGAGATTCACAGCAGCACGATTCACAACAGCCACCAACTGGAAACTACGCAAATGCCCGTCCACACTCAAACGACTGAATAATCACGGTAGACTCACACAATAGAACACTACATGCCGAAAGGGCTGAACAGTCTACAGCTACACACTCAGGTGAATGAAAAGCGTAACGATGAATAAGAGAAACCAGACATGGAGAAGCACGTGCTGTCAACGCCTTTAACATAAAGTTCAAAACACAGGCAAACTGATCTGCACCCTGAGAAGTCAGGAGAGAGGCTTCCCTTGCAGGAGTAAGGGGGCAGGTGACAAAGGTCACAGGGGGCTTCTGAAGCTTGCCATGTTTTATCAGGCCCGAGTGCACGGAGTGTACAGAGTGTGAAATGTCATGAGCTGCACATTTACCTGCCCTTTTCTGTTTGTATGTTATACTGCACTAAGATCTTCTGAAAAATTAAGAAGATAAAATCAATCTATCTGTTGTCAGTTCTCAACACAATAGGCTCTGTGGGTAACACGGCCCCTTTCCTTTCTTCTTTCCCTGATTCTCCCTTTTGAACGTATTTGTCCATCGTAATGTTTCACCTGCATTCACCGAGTGGGATTACTCACTGCCCCACTCCCATGACCCAGGGGGAATAGGCCGGAGGATGCTGACTCCGCTTACTGTAGTTCTCCGCCAGGACAGGCACCAAACCACATTTGCCTGCAGTGTAGACAAATCCTCCATCCAAACTCATGGCATCAGCTTCTCCTTTCTGCAAAGACAGAGCAGATCTCCAGCACCACATTGAGGCTGCATCCCGTCCTGCCTGTCTTTACAGCTCTCTGAGAGAATGGCTTTCTGTCAGGTGACCAGTGAAACAGCAGAAAGAGAGGGACTGTTTGAACTGAGCACCCAGAGGAAACGCCACGTGCACCACTCATTCTCTCCCAGCCCTGCCTGCTTTCTATGCTGTCAATTCAACTGGGAGGACTGGGCACAGGCTGCACAACCCTCTCTCCTCTGAGCACAACCTTTTCTGTGCCCCTGGCACTTCGGGGACACCTTCCTGGATCAGTCTCCCTCACCCAGGACACAGATGGAACAGCTGGCCTCATCTAATCTAACTCATTAGCACTCCACCCCAGGTGCTACATAGAAGTTGTCCAACAAATGGGCTGAAGTCATCATATTGGCCCACCATCAGAATGAACAAGTCCAGACTACAACACAGGACCGTGGACTCACCGGGAGCACGAAACTCCCTCTTTGACCTAGTAGTATTTTTTTACAGCTATATTAAAAATAGAGATGTGGACAAGAATTCTACTCGAGAATGCTCCCCACAGGGTTATGGAGAATAGCAATGTAAGGGACAAGGAGGAAGATGTCATGACTAAACTGAGCCACGTTCCCATAAAAAGTATCCTGGAACCAGGTTTAAAAAATGGTTTCGTCCCAGCGCCGTGGCTCATACCTGTAATCCCAGTACTTTGGGAGGCCAAAGCAGGAAGATTGCTCGAGCCCAGGAGTTCGAGTCAAGCGTGGGCAACAAAGAGAGACTCTGTCTCTACAAATAATAACAAGAATTGTGCAGGCATGCTGGCATGTGCCTGTAGCCCCAGCTACTTGGGAGGTGAAGGTGTGAGGATGACTTGAGCCCGAGAGTTTCAGGCTGCAGTGAACTATAGTTGTACAACAGCACTCCAGCCTGGGTGACAGAGCGAGAATCTGTCTCTTTAAAAAAAAAAAAAATGTTTTCCAAGAGTAAATATTCATGTGGAAGAATGCACATTATATGCTGTCCAGTGAAAAGGACTTAAAATGACATAACTGAACCGCTGGTGTATCGTTGCGTGCTTATCTGTAGACAAGCAGAGAAAATACTGGAATGGAGAATTACCCAGACTGTAACCATGTCTGTCCCTCTGTGTGGGACCACAGGTGATCTGGGGGGTTTGTTGTTGTTTTGTTTTAACATTATACCTTTCCATATTTCCCAAATTCCTTACAATAATCCTGTGTTGTTCTTATAACCTGAGGAGTGGGAAACTCACAGTAAACTGCTTTTTGAACCTAAAACTGTGTGTGACCCTGAGCACACCTCTCCAGGTGTCCCTGCCTCACCCAGGCCCCCTGCAGCCTCTTTGACTGCTGACTTCACTTTAAGCAGATGCCCAGGCCCTGGGTCTTCCATGGGGCCGCCGCCCGCCCCTGTGACGGAGCCCCTACCAGCACCAGGGCGATGCAGTCCTCCGCGGTAGAGGCCGAGGAGCAGGTCACGCTGCCTTCGCTCAGGCTGCTCCAGTGGCTACATTTGCGCTGCTCCTGGTCGCCCACCGCACACCACACAACCCGTGCATTCCGGGCAGCCACCTCCTCCTTGCCTGCCACAGGGAAGACAGCAGGTTCGTCAGGCGTCCCGAGCCTTGCCAGGTCGTCCACCCTCCCCAGAGCTGGGCTCCTGCCTAGACCCTCTCTGGGACAGGAGCTACAGTAGATGTGTGGACGTGTGGATGTGTGCACGTGTGCATGTGTGGATGTATGCATGTGTGGACATGTGCATGTGTGGGTGTGTGGACGTGTGGACATGTGCATGTGTGGATGTGTGGACGTGTGGATGTGTGGAGCCATGCCCTCTCCTCCTCCAGTCTCATCTGCAATTCCCTTCTTCAGGCCCACGGAGCTCCCTGTGTTTCCCATTTCTGTTCTTTTGGAGAAGTTCCCTGGTTTCTGATTGTCTCTGTCTGAGGATAAAAGCTCCATGACCCAGAGACCAGTGACAGCCCCAAGAGATGGCCTAGGGGACCTTGCGCCCAACCTTGACTTCCCCTGAGGCCTGCAGTCACCACCAGTAACTATAGCGCAGCATCTGGATTCCCCCAGATTCCACCCCTAGTCCCCCAGGAGAGGAGGAACCATGGCTGAGTTCTCCCACCATGGTGTCCCCAACTGAGTTCAAGGCCTGGGCCTGGGAAGTGGGGTGTTCCGGATTCATCCAGGAGGGGCCCTGGCTCTCTTTGTTCTGTTCATGTTTCTCACTTAATAGGAGGCGAATGGATTTTTCTGCCAGGCCTGGGGAGCCTGATGGGCACTGATCAGGTGGCCAGGATATTCTTTAAGAGACAACTGACTTATTCCACGGAAGACACTCGCACCTGCATCAAACCTCCACAATGACCCCACAGTGGCTGGGAAATGGAGGAGCGACCACCACAAAGTAGGGCCACCTCCTGGAAAGTAAAAGACACCGCCAGGCAGCCCTCAGGACCCTCCTGGGCTCACTCACTTTTCTTCAAGTTCTGGATGGCGGTGAAGTAGCCGGAGCCAAGGTACAGCCCAGAATCTATCCTCGCAGGGACCCTGGAAAACCCGACGGCGGAGTCCTTGAACAGCAGATCCTTCTCCCCGCTAGGGGAGCCAAAGAGCCGGAATGCCGGTGACTTGTCCTTTCCAAACTTTTCCTAAGTAAGAAAAAAATAGCATTATGGTGTCAATGGTAAACAGGGAAGAAACAACAACAAAAATGATGGTAAAGAAGAGTGTCTGAAACTTTGGGATCGTTCTGAGGGCAGGAGCCTCAGTTGAGACCCTCCAGCAGAGAGACTCGTGCCATCCCTGAGACGCAAGCTCAGCTATGGCTCATTCTTTGAAGACTTGCTAGGCCCAAGCACCTTAGAACCCTGAGGAGATTACATCAACGTCCCCCTGCTTCTGCTCCTGTCATCCGATACTGTCAGTCGGTGTGGCAGGGGGGTTTCATTGCTGCTGCCGTCCAGAGTACAGGCTGGGCTTTAGTGTGCTAATCTGCAGCGAGGCTAGGGACCTCTAAAGTGGCAGAAGTCAGGGAAGTAAAGAAACTTGCCCTTTGCCCCCCAAATCCAAGCAAGTGGGGAGGGCTGCCAGTGAAGTACCTGAGACTGGCGGAGGAGCTCCCAGATGGCATCCTCCTTGCCATTCACACTTCGTGCCACAACGGCATGAGAAGGGACTCGGGCCAGGTGGCACTCCTCGAACTTGTCCACTGGCTTCCGAGTGTTGTCTGGGCAGAGCAGCTCATACTCGTCCCTTTCAGCCTGGCTTGGCAGGTCCTCTGCAGGGAAAGGGAGGCGGAAGACAGCCTAGATGAGCCAACTCCAGTATAACTGCAAGCTATATGTGAGGTCTGTCTCTGTCTCTGGTGCTCCTGGGTGGATGTGGGGTCTGTCTCTGGTGGTCCTGTGTGGATGTGGGGTCTGTCTCTGGTGGTACTGCATGATGTGGGGTCTGTCTCTGGTGGTCCCAGGTGGATGTAGGGTCTGTCTCTGGTGGTCCTGCATGATGTGGGGTCTGTCTCTGGTGGTCCTGTGTGGATGTGGGGTCTGTCTCTTTCTCTGGTGGTCCTGGGTGGAATATGGTAGTCCCGTCTCTATTGGTCTTGCATGGAATGTAGTGGGCTTGTGTCCACTGGTCCTGGGTGCAGTGTGTTCAGCCTATACACACCCATCAATTGTGCTTTAGTACAGGTCCGAGAGGGACACTGTCCAGCAGGAGTAAGGGAACACAGGTGAAGGTGTCAGTCATGTGGCTGCGTGTGGTAGAGGGAAGGAGAGCACAGCCTCCGTCCGTCACTGTGATGGTGGAGAAGTAGAATGTGGACGTATTCCACAGAACATTCCTCAGCTGTTAGGACCCCTGAGCTAGACATTTATACAGCAATACCAAGAAATCTCGAAAACAGAATGCTGAGCAGAAAACCTTAGGAGCAGCAGGGTTTCTAATGCTCAGTAAAACCTCTAGGAACTCAGAACCCAGAAACACAAACCAGCACAATCCATTCTGCATGAGCACATGTATGTCTCAGAGGACGCAATGCCAAGCTTGGCATGTGGGGGGAAAGAAAGGCAGTGGGCACAGGAGATTTAAAGAAATATGAAATATCATAAAATCGGAGCTGTGCCCTATAGGAACCTTGAAAATGGTCTGCCATGAACCGAGGAATCTAATTTGCTCAGAGGTCAGAGTCACAATCAAGTAAGATAAAAGGGGGCAGTACCCACAGCTCCTTCCCCTGCTCTTACCAAACACTGTGCTCTCCCTGATAAAAGCCACGTCTCCAGCCCCATCCCTCAGACACCTGTGAGAAGAGAAAAAGTATCAGGGGTTGCCCCTCCCTGGCCCTTTCCTGGGGAAGAGCAGCCCTGGCACTCAGCACCTGTGGGTTTGTGCTCCCTGGAGAGCAGGACTCTGAGGCTTTGGGGCATCCCAGCTGGGAAGGCAGGGCCCCTCCAGACTCTGAAGCAGGGCTCAGGTATGGCCAGAGGCCCCCATCTTCTGCTTTGAGGGCTAAGAGGACAGAACTTTTTTTTTCTATATAAAAGAGAGTTTTGAAGCCCCCGCCCCAGAAGGTAAAGGCTTAGCATCCCTGGCCACGTGGCTCTTTCCTTCAGGACTGAGTGTGCAAGTGTGCCCTGGCCAGTGGGGCAGCGCAGAGGCCTCCCTCTGCAAAAATACCCGAGCGCCAGCAGGCAGAATGGGAAAAGGGAGAATTCAGTCTCCGCATGAGGGCAGAGAGGGTGGGGGCGCGTCAGGCATGGCTCACTGTCTGCGGTGGAAAGAGGCCCAGGTGGCCAGAAGGACATCAGCCTGGATACTGAAGCCATCCTGCCCAACCAGGAGCCAGGGCTGGACATCTCACGACAAGACACCTTCTGTCCTGTTGTGGTTAGGGAAGGGGCAGAAATGAGTACGAGGAACCCAGGACAACAGGGGATCCAAACTGGATTCTGGGTTCTCTGAGGTGACAGGAGGGCCCACGGCTGCAGCGACTGCCCACGGGGCTGGTGAGAGGTGAGGGTACAGGTGTGCCTGGAAGGCTGTGGGGGAACACGCACTGGGTGGGCCTGCGTGCTCTTTGGACACACAGCAGTAGGAAAACCAGGCCTTCTCTCTGGTTCCTGCGAGCAGAATGAGGTCTGTGTGGCGACAGAGAAAAGGCCTCCCAGCCTGAGGCCAAGGGACACTTGGCCACTGAAGAGAAGAGGACAGGGTCACTCACTTGAAGGCCCCAGAGTAGCTGAAGTACGGTTCCTTGGAGGAGAAGGCACATTTGTTTGCTCCTGTCCCCACACACAGGCGACACAGGTTGGGGAACTGTTTTTCATCCGCACCAGGAACACAGCTGGCTGAGAAGAACCTGGCCACAGCTGTTAAACACAGAGAAATGGACCACAGAGTATGAGCCAGCCGTGGCCACAGCAGGTTACCCCCCAACTCCGCCCCAGCTGGAGCTCCCGTGGGCAGGGCCCCTTCCTCCACCCCGGCAGGAGAGCCTCTGTCATGGGGCTGGGAGCTCAAGACACGCACCTCTGCTGAGAGCAGACTCAGCAGTGCCTCCCAAGGGCTGCCGGGGTAACGGATCCTGCCGGCAGGATGTTATAAGCCCGCCAGCCTCACCCACACCTTGATTCCTCCCATGCGTCCACCTGCGTGATCTGTGTGGCCTGTGCTTACAGCTGGAGTGGAGGCCCCCACCTGAGGTCGCTCACTATCTCCCAACCAGCTTACCTGCCTCAATGCGCTCAGGTGGACCTGACCAGTCTAAGAATGGACGAATCGTCCCTATAGGGACGTTCCACCCAGCGGTCCTGCGAAGGCCTGTGTGGCAGGACTTCAGACCTTGCAGTTGGTTCAGCTGAAAGCGGCCGCCCTTCTTCACCACAGCCACAGCGTAATAGTGGGTTCGTGGCTCTGCAAAGGGGCAGACAGAATTGACAGCTCTTAGCCTAGATAAGAGGGACAAAATCAACCCGTCCTGTAAGCCTCCGCCATGCTGCGGTCTCCTCGCAGCTCGTGGGTGTCCTCCTCTCATGGGTCAGCATCAGGAGGAGCAGCCTTCATCTGGCCCGGAGCCCAGCGACTCCATTCCCTGCACATGTGACATGACCGAGACTCCACCTCCACATGTCCCTCCACTCCCACTCCGCACAGCTCAGGGCTCAGGCCGGGGGGCCACCGTGGCTTCTGGGTCCCCAGGCAGAACTCACGTGCTTCGCTCCCGTAGACTTCTGCTGCTACCGGTCGCAGTAGGTAGGGGGCCTGGCCTGCCTCATATATCAAACCACCATCAAGGGTCACAGCATCAGCCTTGTTTGTCTGAAAGAAAAGAGGCCAGGTCAGCTTCAGCAGAAAACTCACCCAAACCTAGCAAGCGGGACCTCAGGACCTCAGAAAGTCTCTGTAGCTGGCAGGGTCTTCAAAGGAGTCCGCTTTCCATCACGTCTATTCACATCCTATGAGTGATGGTGAGAGCCAAGGACCCCTGTTTTGGGACAGTGAGCGCCAGCGCTCTGACTGCTGAGACCGGGACCCGCCCTCTCTCTCCTCTGCCTGCCTGTGACACTCTCTTGATCACACCCTTCACAGTCAGCTAGATTTGAAGCTGTTTTTCTAGATGCTCTCTCCTCTATTTTTGCTCCATATTCATTTAAGTTCTGTTTTATCATCTAGAAAATATAGTTATTAAGAGATCCTAAAATTATCATAAGAATCCATGTTCCTCCACTCCAGCACATTGCTTCCCACATGATTACCTGTTTCTTTGGTTTGCAATGTGGGATATATCAGCAGTCCCCAACATTTTGCCACCAGAGACCAGTTTCAGGGAAGATAATTTTTCCAAAGACAGATAGGCAATGGTTTCGGGATGGAACTGTTCCACCTCAGATCATCAGGCATTAGACTCTCATAATTAGACCCATGAGAGGACACACGTGCTCTGTGAGATACGCAGAAGCGTTCCCCCTTCCCACTGGAGACTTATCAGGATGGGTTGATTTTGTCCCTCTTGTCCAGGCTGAGAGCTTTCAATTCCATCTGCCCCTTTGCAGAGCCACAAACCCACAATTATGCCGTCTAATGCTCCTCCTAGGGGCAGCCAGGCACAGTCCTGGGAGAGAGAGGCCATGGAGTAAGGATTCAACCGCTGACTGAGGGAGTGACCACCGCACCCTCATAAGGAGCGCACAGCCTAGATCCCTCCCGTGTGCAGTTCACCGCAGGGTTCACACTCCTGTGAGAACCCAGTGCCGCTGCTGATCTGACAGGAGGCGACGCTCAGGCCATAATGCTCACTGGACCGCCACTCACCGCCTGCCGTGAGCCCAGTTCCCAACAGGACACTAACTTGCACCAGTCCACGGCCAGGCAGTGGGGACCCCTGGGACAGATCAGATTTGGGGGACTGCTTATTCATCTAAAGCTGCATACGTTTTCTAACTTCTCCAGAGCCTTTATTGATTTTGTTGACAGCATAACGTTTTCTCATAATGTGGGTGTTCTGTCATGTATTGAATTATTTCTCCCAATGTCTAGCACTTGGTTTATTTCTAACTGTTGCCCGTGAAGACTGTGCTTTCATGAATATATTGTCCTCAGCATTTTTCCTTGCGGGCCACTTGTGTCCTTGGGTAGGCACCTGAGGGTGGAAGCCCCAAGATGAGGACCATGTTACTCCTTGTGACCCTGGCTGCCACTGCCATTCTGCTTCCAGAAGATTTGTAATGCCAATTTAGGATGGCACTGACCATGAGGACCAGCTTCACTGTCCAATCACCAGCAGGGCAGGCTATCATTCTATTTGTTAACTGATATTACTACAGAAAATCCAAGTACTAACAAACTGCTTAGGTCTGATTAGTAAGGGGAACATTTCACAAGTATTTTGTCTTAATTATGAATTCCTTCTTACCAGTTACCCTGTTCATATCATTTTTCTTCTTTGATTCTACATTTTTTTCCAATTTGAGTTATTCTTTTATAGAGTGTAAATAGGAATCATGTGCCAGAGCTGGTGCACATACATTCATTCGGGTACTTTCTAAATTTTTTTAAAAATTATTTTCTATGGGCTATGAATTACATTTTCTGTATTTTAGAATGTCTGTCTGTTTCATGATGTGGTTTGTTGCTTAAGAGATTTCTATTTCCTCTATAGTTCTCCTAAATTGGCCCCTAGTTTTTCAATGATATGAATTTTGTTTTTAACCATTTAATCTATCTCAACTTTATTTGAGTGAATGCTACGTAGTACTGGTTTCAGACAGAAATCTTATTTCCCGAGATTAGATAAGATAGGATGCCTTCAGGGTGGAATGGCCGTAGACAGGATTTTATTTTAAAAGGCAGATTTTGTGACTTCCTTCACATCTATTCAGATTGAGTAGGTTAGAATAGAGCCTAGGAATCTGCATTTTAAACAAGCAAGAGATATTGGCGCTGTTATTTATTTATTTATTGAAATGGAGTCTCACTCTTGTTGCAAAGGCTGAAGTGCAAGGCACAGTCTCAGCTCACCGAAATCTCCGCCTCCTGGATTCAAGCGATTCTCCTGCCTCAGCCTCCCAAGTAGCTGGGATTACAGGTGCTTGCCAGCAGGCCCAGCTAATTTTTGTATTTTTAGTAGAGACGGGGTTTCACCATGTTGGCCAGGCTGGTCTCAAACTCCTGACCTGAGGTGATCCTCCCACCTCGGCCTCCCAAAGTGCTGAGATTACAGGTGTGAGCCACTGCACCCAGCTGCTGGTGCTGTTTACATGCAGGTAATAGTTGTAAAAACATAGCCTAAAACAGTAATTAAACTAGATTTTTCCCTAAGTACTATCCTAATACTCCATTGTATTTATAAGATAATCCTATGAGGTTGCCTTGGAAACTTTTACGCAAATTATCCACTCTGCTGGAGCTGAGTCCACATGGTTATGTGGCAGGTACACAGAATATATTTGTTGAATGAATGAGTAAACATTATCTCAGTAGGTCTTACACATCTCAAAAAATAAAAGGAATGAGAAATCATACACAATTCACAATACCCTTTTCTCTCTCTCTGAAACTGTCTTGGACAAAAGTCTTTCCAATGCCTGGCACCCTGGCAGGTCCTGTCCCAGCATGTGGTGACAGTGACCAGGACAAGCTCCTCTCTCACAGGGTTTAGAGGTCATGACTCTTAGGGAGGATTTTTCTCTCTGAGTAACCTTGTTTTTTGCCAGTGCTACGTATTCATCAAATACAACTGCTTACATTTCATTTCGGAACAGTTGTTATTAGTAGTTTCTGTGGAGGCCCCAGGTTCCCCACACGTGGTCTCTCCACTTAAGCTCCTTTCTTTCTGCTCTGAAAATAGCACAGTTCCCTGTGAGAGAGGACAGCTTCCAACTGACAGTTGCCCAAAAAGGTGAAGCAGAGGAAGTAAGGAGAGCACATGGTCTATGTTTTTCCATTTCTCTCTCCCTTCCATTCAGCTTGGTCCCAACCAACACCCGGCATTGACTCACCGCAATGGCTTCCATACACTGGGTTGGGGAGGTTCTCTTTATGCAGCTGACAGGAGGACCACCCACTTTTCTCAGGTTCCTTTGCCATTGGATGCATTTTGTGGCCTCAGGTTTGGATACGGTGCACCATCGAACGCTCCCCCTAGGGGCAGCCAGACACAGTCCTGGGAGAGAGAAGTGGAGGAGTAAGGAAGGATTCAACCGCTGATGGAGGGATTGACCACCGCACCCTCTGATGGCGTTTTCCAGACTCCTCCCTGGCTCTCAGCTGCCCTCCTTCCCTCTCCAGTTCATGGCTATGTCCAGCCATTCTCCACAAGGGAAGGCATCTCGATGGACTAACAGGGTCTCCGCATTGGCGAGGGGTCTGCGGTTCTCAATAAATTAGAGGAGAAAGTCCCTCTAGATTACTTTTATTCCTATGACTTTGACATGTTACCTACCCCTTAAAAAATGACAGTGATCCCTCACATCAATTATGAAATTCTTCTACCTGCTTTGGCCCCTTTGAAGCTGGAAGGTAGGCAGGAAAGGAGTCGTGTGCTGATGTGGAAACTGGCTCCCAAGGAGGCTGAGTGACTCACCACTCAGCAGTGCACAGCCCAGCTGAGCATCCAGGTCTCTCTAGATTGTTTTGTCTGTAAGTGTCTCCCCAGGGAATGCCAAAGGAACAAAGGAAGATACACCTGACTCGATTGATAGATGCAGTAAATGATAAGTCAATGGCCATGGGGACAAATGGGTTGGCTGGTGTGCCTGAGCCACCACCATTCACTCTGTACAAAAACTGGTTCTCCTGTTGAGCCTGCTTTTGTCGCTCCAATCCATGCAATTGGATTGGAGCATAGATTGAAGGGAGGAAGGTGCACTGAATTTACTCACCTGGTTGCCTGACAAAAGGCATCTACAAAAAACCTGCAGTGAACATCATACTAAAATGGTGAAAGGCTGAATGCTTTCCGCCTAAGATCAAGAGCGATGAGAGAGTGTCCTCACTCACCTCTTCTATTCAACAGTGTTAGAGATTCTAGTCTCAGCAATAAGGCACAAAAAAGAAATGAAAGACACCCATATTGGAAAGAAAGAAGTAAAACTGCCTTTGTTTTCAGGTAACATGATCTATGTAGAAAATACTGACCAATCTATAAAGTACCAATAGAACTAATAAACAAGTACAGCCGGGCCACAGGATAGATCAATACACAAAAATTGGCCATACTTTTGCATACAGCATAGAACAATCTAAAAACAAAATTAAGAACATAAATCTAGATAGTATAACATCAAAAAGAATTTAATACTTGATGGGTAAATGATATGAACAGACATTTACCAAAGTAGATATGCAAATGGACAACAAGTACATGGAAAGGTGCTCAGTATCATTAGTCAGTCAAAAAACACAAATTGAAAATGCAATAGAATGGCATGTCACACCCACGGGTTATAATAGCTAAAACAGACAATGACACATATGGGCGTGAGGATGTGGGGAAACGGGAACCCTCATACGTTGCTGAGAATGTGAAATGGCACAGCCGCTTTGTAAAACAGGTTGGCAGCTTCTCAAAATGTGAAGCACAGAGTTCCAATAGAACCCAGCAACTGCATTTCGAGGCATATAGCCAAAAGAAATACTATAAAAACCTATTGTACATGAAGACTTGTGCACGAATGTTTGCAGCAGTGTTATTCAGAATAGACAACTGGAAACAGCCTAAATGTCCAATAACTGGTGAATCTACATCCACTTAATGGAACAGTACTCAGCAATGAAAAGGAAGGAAGCACTGATACGCCCCGCGACATGAATGAGCCCCACTTGTGTGCAATGTCCAGAAAAGGTAATTTTATAAAGACAAGAAAAGAGATTAGTGGTTGTCTGATGCTGGGGTAGAAATGAGCATTAACTATAAACAGACATGAGGGACCTTTACTTCAGGGGATAGAAGCATTCTAAAACTTATTTATGGTGATGGTTGCACCACTTGGTAAGAGTACTAAAAAGAATTGTACACAAATAGGTGAATTTTTTATGATACATAAAATATACCTCAGTAAAGTTGCTACCAACACACATACACACACACACACACACGCATGCACGCACACACACACACACACACACAGAGTTGTAAAAGCCCTCTGCCCTTTGGATATACTATGGGGTAGAATGTTCAGCCTCTGCTGCCTCCTGTTTCTGAGCCATCCCATCATGATGAGAGCCACCCATGGCGCTTGCAGAGGGCTGGGGACCGTGGTCAAGAGGCCTGTAGTTCCCAGGCTGAGTCTGCAGGGGCTTGGGGCACCCAGCTGCCACACTCCCCCTTCACCCACCCTCATCCCGGGGAAATCCCAGGGAATACAGTCTTGCCTTGGAAGCCTTTAGTCAGTCAAAAAATACAAATTGAAAATGCAATAGAATGTCATGTCACACCCATGGGTTATAATAGCTAATGGAACTATCCCACACTGAGAGTTAACCCAATCAGATTCAGCCATTGGATCCAGTGAGCATTAACTGGATGCCTGCTGTATACACAACATTGTGTGTCATGCAAGAAATGTGTAAGCACACAGGACCAGATTTCACTTCTCACTGGAGAGGCAAAAATCCAATGGCGGATGTGCTAAAAGAGAACAAATACCAAACCAGGAATGAGGTCCCTATGATTTCAGTGGGTAATTAGGTGGGGGATGTTCCAGGAGGTGGAAGAATGGGCCCGTGTGCCCAGCTCATGTTGCAGGCATGTTCTGTGCCAGGTGATTTACTCAGCATTTCATTAGCTGCCCCAGCTCCTCTGTACTGTAACTTCTACCAACATCTCCATTCTCCAGGGGAGGACACTGGCTTTAACTAGTTATGTGGTTTGTGGAGGTTCCCATAGCTACTAAGTGTTGGATCTAGGACTCGAACTTAAGCAGTCAGACCCTAAACTCCCCTGTTCTTACCACGGGCTAGTCAGCATATTTAGGTCGGCAGAGTTAGAGACCGGTTGGAGATGGTGCTAGCAAAGGGTCTTGGTCAGATCATGGAAAGTCTCCAATGCTGGTCCAGGGAGGTCTTATTCAGGATGCAGTGAAGTTGTGACTCATGGGAGAGGCTGGAGACTGGCGCTCTCCCTAGGGCAGGGGCAGAGTGGACTGAGACCTGGGACCTGGGAACAAGCAGAGAAGCCGTGGCCACGGAAGGCACCAGAGAAGACTGGTCTGAGTAGAGAGGAGGGATAGCATTGAGAATGGAGAAGGGGGCGGGGACAGGAAGGTGGTGTCAGAAATCAGCTTGGTCATGGGTGGGTTCTGGTGGTGAAGGGCGAGAGTAAAATGGAAGACCATGCTTGAAGCCGGACGTGGGGGCTGAGCAATGACGGGAACCTGTGAGCAGAGTTTATTTCTTCCCCTGAGAGGAGTTGAACCCGGGTGACTAAAGGACCACTAAGCACCCTTCCAGGATTCCCAGTCTCCAACCCTCCAAACACCAGGTAAAGGCTCCAAGCTCTTACCTCCCAGCTCTGAACCTATTTGAACCCCAAGCTCTTAATTCCCAGCTCTGGAGCTGTGTGAACCCTAAGTACTTAACCCCCAGCTCTGTAGTTGTGTGAACCCCAAGCTCTTACCTCCCAGCTCTGGAGCTGTGTGACCCCAAGCTGTTACCCCTCAGTTCTTGAGCTGTGTGACCCCCAAGCTCTTACCTCCCAGCATTTGAGCTGTGTGAACCCCAAGCTCTTACCCCCCAGCTCTGGAGCTGTGTGAACCCCAAGCTCTTACCCCCCAGCTCTGGAGCTGTATGAACCTCAGGCTCTTACCCCTCAGCTCTGGAGCTCTGTGACCCCCAAGCTCTTACATCCCAGCATTTGAGCTGTGTGAACCCCAAGCTCTTACCCCCTAGCTCTGGAGCTGAGTGAACCCCAAGCTCTTGCCCCCCAGCTCTGGAGCTGTGTGACCCCCAAGCTCTTACCCCCCAGCTCTGGAGCTGTGTGACCCTCAAGCTCTTACCCCCCAGCTCTGGAGCTGTGTGACCCCAAGCTGTTACCCCTCAGCTCTTGAGCTGTGTGACACCCAAGCTCTTACCCCCCAGCTCTGGAGCTGTGTGACCCTCAAGCTCTTACCCTCCAGTGCTGGAGCTGGAGCTGTGTGACCCCCCCCAACTCTTACCCCCCCAGTGCTGGAGCTATGTGAACCCCAAGCTCTTACCCCCCAGTGCTGGAGTTGTGTGACCCCCAAGCTCTTACCTCCCAGCTCTAGAGCTGTGTGACCCTCAAGCTCTTACCCCCCAGTGCTGGAGCTGTGTGACCCCCAAGCTCTTACCCCCCAGCACTTGAGCTGTGTGACCCCCTGAAGCAGGTCCAGGTCTGGCCCCTCCCAAATCCTCAACCCAGCCCTTGTATTCAGTATCAGGCACTCAAATGCTGCCCACCAAGCTTGGCTGCACTCTGGCTAAAGCATACATTCTGGGCAGACGTGCAGTGCCCTGGCCTTGAAGGCAGGTGCCCGGACAGGAGTTATTCTCCCCAACTACCCACACAGCTCATGGTAGGGCCCAGGCGGACTGGTGAGTTTGATGGGAAACCTCATGAGTGCCTCCCAGCCCATGGCTCCAGGGGCTGAGCAGACAGACTCCCCTACCCACTGCTCACACAGCTTAGATCCAGCTTGCCCCATCCACCCATCTTCTGCCAGCCTGGACACCCACGGAGAACAGGGCAAGAATCCCATAGGGCAACTGTCACCCCTTCCTCAGCAAGGACAGGGGTTTCAGTGGCTCTTTGGGGTACAGGCCACCATCCCAATTGACTGCAGGATTCAAACTGCAGACCTCAGTAGGCACCAAAACAACCAAAGACCCAAGTGAATATGAAACCCAGTGGTGCAACTCTGAGCCAGAATCCTGGACCACAGCCCGTGACCACTTCCAGGAAGTCAAGGCTTCCTTCCTCTCCTGCCCCTCCCAGGTGGCCCTAACCCTATGAAACAGGCCATTTGCCAGGGAACTTGAGGGGACGAGAACAATCAGGTCCTGGCCAGTCCCAATCTGCCTTAGAGAAGAGAAGAATGACCAACACCCATGGGAAGGAATTTGGAGCAAGAGACCAGAAGGGCAGGGACAAGGATGGGTTCAGGCTCCCACTGCTGCTCTCTATCCACCATCTGGGAAGCTTCCAGCCTTAGGTAGATGCATAAGACAGGAGTAGGCTGCGCTGGGCTGGGGAGGTGTGACACCTGAGCTTTCGCTGTGCCCCCTCCCACTGCCTAGGTCTTCATGCCCATCACAGCCCTTTCTGCTGCAGCCTGGGACCTTCCCCTCCCAGCATTGCAGGGAGCTCCACAGTCACACATGGAGGTCACTAATGCGCAGCGCAGGGGAAGGCCCCCTGAGCACCCCAGAAATGACTTTGGTTATACAACTAACAATTATTTTCTTCCTTCAGCTCCTCCTTTTCTGTCACACACATTTCCTTCTCAAACCCTCTGACACAGGGTTCTATCAGGGGCACTGCACCCCTCCCCACCCCTCTGCGAGGAAGGTGTGCGAATGTCCCACCCCCTCCTCACAGCCCTGTGGACCCACCGTTAGGCCATTTCAAGTGAAGAAACTCAGTCTCAGGAAGGCTAAGCCTTGCTGGGGTCTCACAGTCCTCGCAGGAGCTGGGATCTGGTCTCGGGTCCTTGAGCTAGTCGCTCACCCTCTCTGAGCCTCACTTTCCTCCCATGAAAACGCGTGTAACAATACAATGGGGACCGAATCCGTAGGTGGGACACAATGGGACAGGGGCCTGCGAGGCCTTTGGAGAAGCTCTGCGCAGCGCTAGGCTAGGCGTGCCCCGACCCGGCTTACAGGAGCCCCCTCCTGCTCCTCCGCAGGTGGGAAAGAGAGATCTGGCCCGCGTCCCAGCCGCTTCCCGGCTGCAGGCGCAGGGACCACAGGGGCTCAGAGGCCCCGCGCCCAGCCAAGCGGACACAGGGAACAGGGCGCCTAGTAGGCAGGACACAGGAGACGCCCATGAGGCTGGGCGCGGCCCCAGGCACCTGCACTCACCGAGGGCCCCGAGGAACAGCAGGGCGGGGAAGACAAGCTTCATGTCTGCGGTCCGGAGGTGACTTGGCAAACGAAGGCTCTGCCACCTGCGCCTGCCCTGCGCCCCTTTATTCAGGCCTTTGCCCCGCCCTGTTGCCCAATAGACGCCCCGTTCCTCCCCACTCCCCGCAGCTAGGTCTGCTTGTTCCTTGAGGATCCAGGCTCCGAAAAGCCCTGAGGCGGGGCAGGACTCCACACCGAGCCGGCAGGGAGAGGAAAGCCAGCCCGCGCCTCACCTGCCCTGGTCCTGCCTGGCTACTGTGATGTTCTCTCTCACACACTAGTCTGCAAGCCTCTAGGAGTCGCAGCCCCCGAGCCTTGTCCCCGCTCTGGTCTCAGTGCCTCCTAGAGGTCAGGACACAGAGCAGAGGGTCTTTACCTGAAGATCGCCTTGACCTGTGAGACTGCGATCTTCCTATCTTCCTCAGTTGACGGCCTGGAAGGCGCCTAGGAGCCAGTTAGTGCAGGCAGGTTTCCTTCCACCTTGGCTCAGCAGTGAGCTGGGAGTTGTAAAGGTGACCCAGCTGCGCCCAGCAGCAGCCTGGGCACAGCCGACAGAGAAAAGAGAGGCTGCCCAGAGTCCCAGGCAGGCTGCCCATGGAGTATCTCCCTGCCCTGCTGAGACCCACAACACAGTTCCCAGAAAACAGATGGGGGTCCCAGACGGGAATGACCACCGCCCACGGCTGGCTCCATGTTCTTATTTGCCAACGAGAAAGGTGCCCTATGGCTAACATGCCCTACCACTTTTTCTTCTTTTTTCTCCACCTCCTTCTTCGTCTCTTTTGGTGTGGCCAGTATTCAGTAGGAAATGGGAACCTCATCTTAATAATTGCCATAACTGTCAGATTTTAAAATTCAAAAGCAGGAATACTGCTTCTAAGAATACATCTCCTAAATACATTCCCACGACACAAAACAGCCATGTACAAAGGTCTCCAGGGCATCACTGCATGCCATTAATCAGCTGGAAGCAAACTAAACATCCATCTCTGGGTGAGTTCACGTAGAGCATTATGCCTGCGGAACACACCGGCGACCTCAGAAAGAACAAGGCAACCCTGTGTGTGTGGATGTGAACTTAGCCCAAGAGGAAATAGGCAGGGCACAGTGGCTTATGCCTGGAATCCCAGCATTTTAGGAGGTCAAGATGGGAGGATTGCTTGAGCCCAGAATTTCAAGACTAGCCTGGGCAACATAGGGAAACCCCTATCATCTCTACAAAAAATTCAAAAATTAGCCCAGTATGGTGCTGTGTGCCTGTGGTCCCAGCTATTTAGGAGGCTAAGGTGAGAGGACCATTTGAGCCTGAGAGATGGAGGCTGCAGTGAGCCATGATTGTGCCACTGCACTCCAGCCTGGACAACAGAGGAAGACTCTGTTCCCCCTCCCACCCACCAAAAAAATTAACTAAGTAAAGAATTAAGATACTAACAGTGAGGGAAATAATAGGTCACCTGAACACCTTTCTCGGCAGGTGAGTTTGGCCAATATGTGACTCTGAAATCTGTTTATTCTGAAAAGCTGGTCTTGACTGTTTAGACTACTTGGTACTAAAAAGCATTTCCTGGAGCAGATGGGCAATGCCCCAGGGAGCCATCTCTGCCAGAGCAAGCATGCAGGAGGCACCTAGCCATGGAGAAGCAGACTCAGCCCGAGGTGGAGAGGCCATCAAGAAGGCCGGGGAGCACCTTCTTCCCTGGGCATGATCCTGCCAAGGCACAGGGTGGAGGCTAATCAGGGATCCTGCTTGCCGGGCATGAGACTGAGCTTTGGGATTTGGTGCTAGAACCACCAGCTGGATTATGGGGTGACAGATCCAAGGTCTCTCATTGTTTGGAAACATGATATTGCACCATTAAAAGTTGCCTTCATCAAGAATTGCAATAAGCTCTTTCAAAAAGACTGAAGAAATACAAAATTGACTAATTTCCAGGAGTGCTGAAGCATCTTTGTACCTACATTGGCAACTAGACTTTGCCTTTTCATCATTATAAAAGAAGAAACATCATAACCATGTCTCTATTTCTGAGTTCAAATTTTTAAAAAAGGATGGCTGGGAGTTCAGAGGTCCCTAGACCCTCTTAAGTATGTTACAGTGTTGGCAAGAACACGGAGAACCTGAGGCCACCACCAAGAGGCTCAGCTTAAGGCGTGCTTTGAAGGCAAGATGGGTAGGCAACAGGGCAGACTTTTCCTTCTGTGCCTTTGGGAACAGCCCAGCCCCAGGGCAGGGATGTGTGCATCTGGACACAGGCAGGGCAGTCCCCAAAGGCTATTTGCAGAGGAGGCTGCTGCAGGGGGTGGGTCTGCCCCATGAAACACACTTTACTGATCTACTAACAGCATTCATTCATGCATGCATGCCAGAACTGGCGGATGCCATGAGACAGAGAACAGAGGGGTCTGTCCTTACCCTCAGGAACTCACAGGACCATGGGGGAGGGGCAGGCACAGGACTGCATTTCTAACACAGAGGCTGCCTAACAAGATGCCACGCAGTGTAAACCAAGTGAGTGTGAGGGCGGAATTCCTCCCGAGGAGGAATGACCAGCACTCATCATGAGGGCTCCAGAAGAATTCAAGGAAGATTTGGCCTGGGTACCTGAAGGAAGGGTGGGATTTCTACAGGTAGAACATTCAGTAAAGTAAAAACCACACAAGTAAAGGCTTGGGAGCATGAGCCCAGTGACCAATTACCTGAGCACCAGGGACAACGAAAGGCAAAAAGTCTCTCTGGCTTTCTGGCCAGGCACTGGTTTTTTTGTTTGTTTGTTTGTTTGTTTTTGTTTGTTTTTCAGACAGGGTCTCCCTCTGTCACCCAGGCTGGAATGCAGTGGTGGTGCGATCACACCTCACTGAAGTCTTGACCTCCTGGGCTCAAGCAATCCTCCCACTTTGGCCTCCCAAAGTGCTGGGATTACAGGCATAAGCCACCGCACCCAGCCATGGCTTGGAACTCTTGTTAGAAGAAGAATTAACAAAATCCTCCTCTATCCTGAGCTCCACATCGTGTGTTCATCTGCCTCTGGACAGCTACTCTTGCAGGTCCTATAGGCACCTAAATTTAATGCATCGAAAATGCAACTCACTTAGTCCCTTCTGCCCTTCTCTCATATTTCCTAACACTTTCCACCAAACCCACCAAAGAGCCACAGAGGCACCTCAAATTCTGCGGCCAGCTAGCTCTGTGCATGTTACAGGCACTTGATGATCGATACCAGCTGAAGGAATGAATGAATAAATGAGGAGGAGGAACAGGCTAAGAAAGGGTCAAAGGATCCTGTTTGCAATGTGTTGGGTCTGAAGGGCAGTGAGGGTCAGAGCTTGCTAAGCCAGGCCATGCCAAAGTCCGTGCCCATGGACTCGTTAATTTATCCATTCATTCTACACTGCCTATAGCACGTCTCCAAGATCCCAGGAGTTGAGTCAGATCTCGAAGAGCCTGCATGGAAGTAGAATGCAGGTTTCCAAATGCTGAGAGAGTAGCATGAGTTTAAGGAGCACAAAGAAGGTAGCTGCTCTGGAAACCATCATGCAGTGGCGAGAGCTAGTGTTCAACAGCAGGTGTGGGAGGCTGACTCCCTTCCCCCCCAACCCTGCTCTACCCCCACCCTCAAAACTCCCCCAGGGAAACTTTTCGGAATTGCAGGCCCAAGCCCCATCGGCAGGGCAAAGTCTCTGGCTAAGCTGAGTACTCTTGCAAGCCAGTAAACCTCACACCCTGCCCTCTATTAGCCTGGAGCTTCAAACCCCAAGAGGAAGGTTGGGAAGGGAGTTTGAGATCTGGTTGCAGATGGGAGAAGGGAGAAAAGGCATTCCTGAGACATCTACTCACACTTGGCCAACAGACCTCAGGCCTTGTTTCTTTTCCCCGCCAGTGGTGTGAGGTGGCTGACTTGAGAGCCGCTTGTTAAATATTTAGGGATTTGGTGGGTTAACTGATGGCAGCTTGATATCAGGTGCAGTAGATGTATTTGTGCCGTGGAATTAGCAAATGCTGTGAATCAGGGCTCTCTCACTCCACACCCCCAGAGGGCTGGTTAGCCAGCACACAGCTGCCTGCGTTCATCACTGTTTAGCGGCATGCAGTGTCCACACGTGGGTGTGTTTATGGGTGGCTATGCCATCCCTAGCAGAGAAACAGAATAATAATCCTTAATATTTGGGTGGCACTTTTAAATCCAAACTGCTCGCGGTGACTTTGTCTCATGGCTTTAACAGCAGCTCGGTGAGTTAAGACTGTCACTGTTTCCATTTTATTTTTTTTTTATTTTATTGCATTTTAGGTTTTGGGGTACATGTGAAAACCACACTGCCGTGTGTGTACCTATGTTTCCATTTTAAAAAGAGGTACTCTGAGCATCGCCTGAGGTCACACAGTGAGTGAGGTACAACTGCTATCCCAGAGTCTCCCATTAGGCCCATGGCCAGGGGCTTTCTTCTTCGTGGGCCAAGAACCCTCTGAGAGCTCAGGATACAGAGACTGAGGCCCAGGGCTCTCAGCAGAAAGGGAACCTGGCAAGAATTGAGCCCTTCTATGAAGCAGGCCCGGCCTGGCCCCTTCCACACACCAGCTAGCTTCTGCTGCTCTGGAAATACCATAGGTACTTGTTATACCTGTTTCCAGCTGAATGGACGTGGGCAGCGCACCTTGTTCATGATCTCACAGCCAGTGGGCAGGAGAGCTAGACATCCACCCAGGACCCCATGCAGTGATTCCTTAGGGCCTTGGTGCCTCAGTATCAATCATTTATTTGCTGATCAACCTGAAGAGAGGGCCAGAGAATGGGTGAGAATGAGAAAGAGAGAGATGGAGAGCTGCCTGTGTCTCTACCAACCAGGTCCCCACAGGATCCCAACACAGAGACGATGATCTCGAGAGACAGGCCCTCACGTTTGGCCCCACATTGGCCCCTTTGAAGACAGCCAAAGGCCCTGAGAGTCTGGACACGCTTCTGGCTCCTGGGAGCTGCCGTCAGGAGGGAAGATCTGCTAAAGGGCAGCAGGCAGGAAAACAGTGGCTTCATTAGCCAGCATGTATTGTTGCCAAATGTTGCCCAATTTACAAAAGCCCCACAGAGACAAGAAGCTTCTGTCTGCTTGGATCAGCCCTCTTCTTCCTCTTCCTCTTCACTCCCTTCACCTAACCCTCCTCCTCTGCC